CTCAGGAGGGGAGGAGGAGGAGGAGGAGGAGGAGGAGTTGGTGGTGGTGGTGGTGGTGGTGGTGGTGGAGGAGGACCTGAAAGCTGAGAAGTTGCCTCATGGCAGATAGTTGGAGGTGGAGGTGGTGGAGGAGAACGGACCAGAAATGTAGATCCTACACGAATAGGTGGTGGGGGGGGTGGTGGAGGTGGGGAAACATTTGAAGGAGATAATAAAAATGGTGGAGAGGGACTTGGTGCATCATCTGTGGATTCTGAATGGATAATGGAATCAACTTCATGAAATTCATCAGCTGATTCAGGTAAATCATCAGAAGGAACCATAATCCCAACACGAGCAGCAACAGATGGATGAGCCCCGGTTTCACCTGCACCACAATCATTTGAAAGTGCAGTAATCTCTATAGCAGCTGGTGCACTGTTATATCTTGATGGAGGATGAGATGTTACATGAATGGAATTAGTAAAAGAGTCTTTGCTTGGTTGGATCCATCGAGGTACTGTGTTTGGTTTTGTCTGTTTCACATGGATTCCCTCGGGTTCTTGTTGTTTCTTCTTTTGCTTAGCTGCAGTTGGATCTGAAGGTTGTTTTGTGTTTGAAGTAAGCTGCTTCTTTGGGGTGGGTGGCAGTACATTTTCAGGCTTTTGTCTACGGATATCAGAATCCCGCTTTGACTGTGGAGCTTTGAAATCTGCCTTATTCTGGGTACCATTGTTCTCTGCATTCTCCTTTTTGTCCATATCTTCCTCTCTGTGAAGCACAACAGAAGTAGCTGCTTTGGTTTCTAATTTGCCATGAACATCAGTAATTACTGCTTTGGCTTCTAATTTGCTGCCTACAGTAGCAGGCCCTGTCATGGCCTTGTCATGACACTTCTTTTCTTGCTTGCAATTCATGGAATCCAATGTGCTCTCTTCAGTAGTTTGAAGAGTAAATTCTGCCTTCCCATCCTGTTTGTGACTGACATCATCCAATATGCTTTCTTGAGTTGCATGCATGTAAAAATCTCCTTTCCCATCCTGCCCATCAGTGCTGCTGAAAATCTCTTCCACCTCAAAAAATTCCTCTGCAGTTCCTTCTGTATCATTCCCATCTTCTATTACCACTTCTGTTGTGATATTAGACCCAACAGCATCAGAGTCCGAAAAGGCAACCTGATTCAGAAATAATCATGGATTCAACCCCTACATTTCAAGAAAGGGCAACCCCATGGAAGAAAAACAATCACCTACCTCTGCCTTGAAGTCCTTAGGAAATTGATCCTTAGCATCCCACAAAACATCAACTTCATCACGGTTGAGATTCAAAATATTTGATTTGATAAATGCTGTGTTGAACATAATCCTAAACATCATCTCCTCCCGTACTGGATCATCTTCCAAATGGATGCACTCAAGAACAACATCCCCTTGAACACGACAATGAATGTCTATTTTCACAAGTATACACTCTGCCTGCAGATGCATACCAAAATGTTTAAAACATCAAGTAGATCCCTCATTCTGGTAACAGATACACAAATAACAATATTACCTGTTGGTAGTGGCGAATGTGTTTCTTTGTCTCCGAAGATAATAACAATTTTGAACTTCTGTTGGTGACATCTGAAGAGTCTTGACCATAAACACGAACTACTGGTCTGCAACCCCTTTCCCCATTGAACAGGGGAAGAACTCTAAGAATAAGACATTCCAAAGTCAAAGGTGTATCTGGTGGAGGCCAATCTGAACCAAGGCTTCTTCTGGATATGTACTGGAGATATCTCAGCTGTGAAGGTTGTGGATTTAAGGGAGACAAGAGATGGAGGAGTTCCTTAGGAGCTTGTTTGTAGACCATTTCAAGAGTCTTCTGCTCTCCAGTGTACTGTTTTCTGTATAATAGAAGACCTGCAAGCATAAAGGCTAGCACAGGCCATCCCCCTCTCTCACAGTGCATCAGCAGCACATTCTGTTGCCCTTCCAATGATAACCAGCTTTCACTAGAACACAAGAAATGGTGGATCATCTCGAACGGTAACAGAGGACATCCCTCATATTGACGAGGGTAATCCATAACAGTCATGTCATACTGAGACAATATGTCTGAAATTTGGCTCCTCCTTTCTCCTTCCCTGAAGTTAAATACCATGAAAGAGGCATCAGGGAAGTAGTCCTGCAGCTGTGCCACGATCCCGCTCATATAAACCTTGTACTCATCCTCTTCCAGAACATCCGTGGAGAAGCAACAGTCGAATACTGTAGCACAAAAAGTACCAAAAGCCACAATTAGATAAATATTATAGCTAAAGACCTTCAGTATCTATAGCAACTAACAGAAAAGTATGCTCAGAAATAAAAATAGGAGATGTACATATTAAAAAGCATTGCAGTCCTCGTCACCGTTTATAAAGAAGAAAAAAATAGAAGAAAGAGAATGGGAAAAACTTTAAAAATGCATCTTGAAGGAGAGTAAATATTCTTCTTTTTTTTGTTCTTTTATAATGTGAACGTGAATCCAATGAACTTGCAAACCTTGAGAAATTTTTCTAGGAAATTAAGGTTGTGAAATAAAATCAACATTCAGTTCCTACACTTTAAAAGCTAACCTTAACTCCTATGACACTGAAATTCTCCTTGGTTTCATAATTGTCCCAAAAGACCACAGTAATTCTTTAGGTATTCCAAATTTCAAAAAAAAAAAAAATTGCAACTCAAATATGAACTGAAGAAGAAGCCGAAATACAACAAAAATGGCAAAAACTTGGACTTTCTAAAAATTACATTGGGAATATTAAAAGAGGAAAAAAAGAAGCAGATGCAAAACACAAACAAATTGCAATGATGCTTCTATGGTACTCAAAATACTCAGATAACACTTCAACATTTTCTTAATGCAAAAGTTTTTTACTCGTTTTCTGCCCAAAAATATCAAAAACAAGCAAGTGAATCCGAAAACATAATACGAATAAAAAGGAGCACATGACATAATGCAATTGCACATTTCAAAGGAAAGCGGAGAAAATTCTTCAACTCAGCAGTAATTAACAGCACTTTCTTTCTAGAAGCAAATAGAAGCAAAGAACAAAAGCCATACCATAAACTCTCTCAGAGATCTCGAGAAGCCGATCCGGCGGCTTCCGATAAAACAACCTTCTGAACAGCGCCATTTTCCGGCGCTGCTGCTGCCTGGATCGGATCCAAACCGATAATTTACTGAAACTCCTCCAAGATCAAACCAATTACAAGCCAAACAGATCCCGGCCAAAAATAATCGAGTTACTGCAGCTGCTGTCAAAATGATCCAAGCAAGACCAAGAACAAGTCCAATCGAGTTCTTGTGAGAGCTGAAGCACAGAAATCGACGAGAAGAAAAGAAGTACAAGAAGCAAAAGAAGAGATCGTTGCTAGAATTTAATAGTCGTGTTGCAGATACTGGATAAACACATGAGAGATAGATCATTTCTCTCTTTTTCCTTCACATGGAGAGAGAAAGAGGGAAGGAGTGGACTGAAATAATAGAATGTCTGCGACCTGCAACTTGATTGGCTCGATCTCACGACGGAAGATAACACGTGGCAACCATGACAAAGAGAGAGAGAAAGGAGGAGAGAGAGTTGTTGCAGGTTAGGAGAGGCGGAAACCGCATGGGCTCTGTTCAGGAACTTCTTATATTTGCCGTGAGAGAGAGAAAGAGAGAGAGAGGGTGGGAGACGGAGAGGCCGAAAGACGGGAACCGTCTCTGTTAATTTACCTTGATGACGCTGTGCCGCCGTGGTCCCTCATTAGAGAGAGAGAGAGGGAGAAAGCATGTTTAGTTTAACGGTGTTTTAGCGGGTGAAATAATTGACTAGAGTTGCTGGTTGAAACACGAACCCTCACCTTTCGTATCTCGGCCGTTACTTCCTACATATTAGCCATTGCCCGGAACCCCAAAGTGCTGTTGCGGCTGTTTTTTGGGGGGTGACTTGTAACTTGTAACTTGAAAGCAGGTGAAATGTCCGAAAATCAAAAATCAACGAAACGTCTTTTTATTTTAGACATGGGGGATCTAAAGTGCGCCTGTGTGGCAAGTGAGCCACTTGCCTTGCTCCTTCTTGGCTCCAGATTGGCATGCAAAATAGGAATAATATTCAGAATGCCTTTGACTAGACTCTTTTCACCAGTGCCTTTGACTATAATCTTTTCACCATAATAAAATCATGGGAAACATTCCGATTAATACCCAGTATTTTGGACTTACTGACACTTTCGTCTCCAAATTTTAAAGGGATTTTTGGACTTCAATCCCCTCATAATCTAATTTGCGGTTTCCTCCTAATCTATTAGTAGCCCCTCCTATAAACGTCATCCTATCCATGAATTTGGCATCAATCTATGGGCAGGATTTAGTTCATTCCTAATCTATTAGTAGCTCCACCTAGGGGTGGATTGAACCGTAAAAAACCCAATTTTAAAATATGATCATTTAATACCCAAACTTTTAAAATATGGCAATCTAGTACCTGTCGTTATCATTAAGTGGCATTTGAAAAAAATACAAATGTCCTTCAAGTGTTATTTAATTTTCTTTATCAACTATTTAAACGTTTACAAAAAATTAATAGTCTCAACTCTTTGCCTTTTCTAGACAAGAAAGTTGGGATCACTTTGAGTAAGCATTCCGGTGACCCTAACTTTCTTGAATAGAAGAGGCAATGATTTGAGACTGCTAATTTTTTGTCAATGTTTAGATGGTTGATAAAGAAAATTAGATGACATTGTAAGGACATTTGTGTCTTTCTCAAATGTCGCTTTATGGCTGGTTAACAACTAGTTAACAGTATAATTGTGAAGGTGACGCCTAGGTGACAAGGCACCCTTTGAGGCTCACCTCGCCTAATCGCCAAGCACTTTTTTACTCTCTACTATAAAATATTTTTTTGTTCATTCTTTTTTGGGATCATAATTATAAAATAGACATTATTAAACTAAAATAATCATTTTGTGAGTTTATATTCTAATTTCTTTTTATTATTTTCTTATTTATTAGGGTTTAATCAACACAAACATTGCTAAATGTTGTATTAACCCTCAAAGACTTCAAAACCTGAACCAATAATAAGGAAGAACTTAAAATTTATTTAATCAACACATTTTCTTCTTCCACATATTCTTCTTCTTCTTCTTCTTCTTCTTCTTCTTCTTCTACTACTACTACTACTATTACCAATACTTTTTCTTTTCTTCTTTTCCTATAACAAAAATAAAGGTTCGGCCCTATATTTTTTGAGTTTTATCTTCCTTATTCATTTTCTTTTTATAAATATGTTGATTTTCCATACTTTAATATGAACTTTATACTTTTCTTTTGAAAATTATGAATAATTATTAAGGAAATATGGTTATGGTACCTAGGGAACTACCCTAGGATCTATGTTTTTAACATAAAAAATCCATCGCCTAGGCAACTAGACGACAAGGCGCCTGATGATGACAGATTTGGCCCTCCACTGACATCATGACACATGGCATCTCATAACAAGTAGATGACACCTTGGCACCACCTAGGCAATGACTTTCCTTAGCCAAAATGATAGAGTCCCACTTGGTGATTTGCCTCCGTCATCAACCTGGTGACCTGCCTTTGCTGGCTTGGTGACCTACCTCTGACGACCTGGTGGAAACCTAGCTTCTCGTCCACAACTCAGGGTGGCTAGCAGCACCTCGTTCAGGGCCACCCTGTGGTACCTCGTCAATATCAGCCGAAGTGACCTCGACGTGAGGAGCGACCTCCCTCGAGGGCTTGCCAACCTGATTGAGGTCCAAGTGGTGACCTGTGAGACGTGTTCGTCGACCAATTCTGCATGCATCCCGTCACTCCCGGGTGTCTCAGAAGTTGGCTCCCACACCGAATGTTCCGGAGGAAACCGAATAAAGCGTAAAGACTGGTCTACGTGCATGACTACCTCCGATGACTTCAAACAGGTTAGGCACGTCTTCCCGAAGATCTCGGATGTGATGCGTGAAGCCCACACCAAATAATGCCTATATAAGGGCCTTACCTCCAATCTCAAAAAGGTATGCACAATTTATTTCTTGCAGCTCTCTAGCTCTCTAACATTTTAGCTCTCTCAAAAATCTCTAGCTCGTTGACTTAAACACCGGAGTGCCCACCCCGGGTAAAGCAACCAAAGCACTTTGATATTGTTTCCTTGCAGGTCGCCCCAGTAAACGATACAACTCATCATTGTTCAGCTAGGCGTCCGAGCCACCTTCCATCTAGGAACTGTTCAATTAGGCATCCCAAGTCACCTACCAGCCAGGAGCTGTCAAAACGCGCACCATCAATTGGCGTTGTCTGTGGGAACCGTTACACATAATCAAAATGATTAGCCCAGATAAGTTCTTGCAGTCTTGCTCGGACAAAATCTCCCTAATTGTGAAGCCACCCTCATAAGTTGAGCCCTACATGCTCTCTACAAGAGTTGATGGCCAATAGAATGTGAGGCCACCCCCGTAGGTTGAGCCCTCTGTGGTTCCCGTGGGAGTTGATAGCCAACAAACTGTGAGGCCGCCCCACATGTCGAGCCCTACATGCTCTACGTGGGAGTTGATTGGATTCGAGCCAAGCCAAGCCGAATAGTACCAGGCTCGAGCTCGGCTCGAGACTATTCTACAAGGCTCGATCTCGAGCCAGAACCTTGAGCTCGAGCTCGAGCTTGGCTCGACTTGTTTTATATTTTATAAAAATATTTTATTATATATTTTCTAAATATTTTATTATAAAAATATAGAGAAAAAGTATTTTATAAAAATAAAAATTATATATAAAAATTTTCATTTTATATTTAAAAAATTAATAATTATAATATATCTATTATATATATTATTTTCTATAATTATATATTCGAGCTGGCTCACGAGCCGCGATCTAGTAGGCTCAAGCTCGACTGAAACTGAGCCGAGCCGAGCTCGAGTAAATCGTGAAAAGCTCGGCTCATTGCCACCCCTAATTGCTAGCAAGTTGTGGAGCCGCCCTCATAGGTCAGCCCTGTCGAGGTGTCTATAGGCCGAGGTGTTGAGAACAAACTGGACTATCAAAATTAAGCCCGGATGAGCCTCGTCAGTCCTATTCGTGAGGTCGCCCCTATAGGTCGAGCCCTTCATGGCTCCCGTGGGAGTCGATGGCCAACGAATTGTAGTCGCCCTTGTGGGTCGAACTTTTCAAGGCTCTCGTGCAAGTTGGCAACTTGCAGTTAGTAGAGATGCCCCTGTAGGTTGAGCTCCATGTGGCTTATCGTAAGAGTAGATGACTAGCACCTCCGAGGACTGATGCAGTGCAACCGTGGCACTGACCTGCTATTCAAATGCCAACAGCAACACATGTATCACAAGGGGAAGCCAAACCGCTTTCAACCTCAAGGCCCCCTAAGCCGACCTCAAAATGTGTTAGTAACAGGTAGACCTCAAAATGTGTAAGTTGGCCCCCATCCATCCAGCTCGGCATCACTTTGACAACTGAAATTATAACCACTTTGGTCACCTGGGTTGATGCTTATGAGCTCATCAAACTAGTCACTTCAGACCAAAGGACCTACAAGCTACTCCCTTCGCTGAGCTGACCTCAGCTCGGGAGTGGGGGGCAATTGATGATAACAGATTTGGCCCTCCACTGACATCATGACACATGGCATCTTAGGACAACTAGATGACACCCCGACACCACGTAGGCGATGACTTGCCTTAGCCAAAATGATGGAGTCCTAGCTGGCGACTTACCTCCAGAGACCTGCCTCTACCGCCAACCTGGCGACTTACCTCCGCTGACCTGGAGACCTACCTTCGCCGACTTGGCAACCTACCACCGCCGACCTGGCGACTTGCCTCTGCCAACCTGACAACCTACCTCCACTGACCTGGTGGAAACCTAGCTGTCGACCTCGTCCACGACTCAGGGTGTCTAGCAGCACCTCGTCTAGGGCTGACTTGTGGTACCTCATCAGTATCGACCAAAGTGACCTTGATGTGAGGAGCGACCTCCCTCGAGGGCTTGTCGACCTGACTGAGGTCCAGGTGGCGACCTGTGAGACGTGCTCATCGACCAATTTTGCATGCATCCCATCACTCTTGGGTCTCTCGGGAGTTGGCTCCCACACCAAATGTTCCAGACGGAACCGGATAAGGCACAAAGATTGGTCTATGTGCACGACTACCTTCAAGGACTTTAGACCGGTTAGGCACGTCTTCCCAAAGATCTCATACGTGGTGCGTGAAGCCTACGCCAAATAATGCCTATATAAGGGCCCTACCTCCAACCTAAGAAGGTATGCACAATTTAGCTATTTTAGCTCTCTCAAAAATTTATAACTCGCTAACTCAAGCATCGGAGTGCCCACCCCAGATAAAGCAACCCGGGCACTTTGACATTTTTTCCTTGCAGGTTGTCACAGTAAACGATACAGCTCGTCATTGTTCAAGTAGGTGTATGAGCTACCTTCCTGCTAAGAAATGTTCAACTAGACATCCGAATCACCTGCCAACCGGAAACTATCAAAACGTGCATCATCAGCACCCCCCTTCACCTGACCTCGCATTGGTGCCTTGAAAACTATGGTTAATAGCAAGTACTGAATTGTCATATTTTAAAAGTTTGGGTATTAAATTGTCACATTTTAAAGAAAATAGTTAAAACAGAAGAATCCTTGGCAACGGGTTTATTGATACGGGTGTTGGAATCACCCATCCACGAGAATAACGTACAAGAATTGCTAGCTACTTGGATGGTTGGACCTTGAACAAGTGTGGCTATAATAATTATTCTTTGATGACTAATGGATCTATCATTAATGGGATGCAAAATTGCAAATACATCCTACCGAGTCCATGCACAGTTTCTTGGTATCCATTTGGCTGTGACCGGTGAAATTGATCGTATGTCAAAATACTTATCCATGTTGATTGTCGGAGATATTATTATTATTAATATTAGGGTAAATTGC